TTCTCCTCAGAAAGGAAAGAGTGGAGTCTTCTGTTGTTGTCCATTAGCCTTTCTGGCTCACCAGGAAGTCTTGCCTGGCCCCCACCTGTCACACCATATACACAGATCCGACTCACTGTAATGGCTGTCAAGGATTCTACTTCTCAGGTTTGGGAAGTGCTGTAAATTAGTTTTCCTTCCTTATGTCTCCTTCAGTACCTCCTTAAATGTTCCTTTTATTGGAAAACATTTGGACCCTTTCCATATTGTTGCCCTTGGCTGACAGTGAGTATGTCTACAGTCTTAATTCTGAGCATTTTGAAGCTCTCTAAGAATTGTCCCTTCTCTTAGAACATGTCATCCTGTTGTTCAGACAGGTAGATTTAGGAGATGGGTACAGAACAGAAAGTGGACTCCTCAGGTAGGCCACTGCATTACCCACTCAAGCCAGAAGAAGCTCTGGAGCATCATGGGAAACCTTCCAGCAGTCTCGAGATCATTGCAATAGGCTTGTCTGGAAACCTTGGACCCTGGAGCAGGCCTGGTTTCCTGGGGGAGCTTCTCAGAGAGGACCTCTCTGACACATGTGCTCTGTAGTGCAGACCAGGATCCTACTCAGTCCCCATAGAGTGAGATGCCCTAGGCTAGTGCAGTTCTTTCCTAACCCAAGACCTTCCATATGACAGCAGGGACCTGGGATAATTGTTTTCTTGGACAAGTTTTCGTGTATCACAGGCTGGCCTTGAACTCACCATGTAGCCAAGGAGGGCCTGGGGAGGGAAGCATGAGATAGGTGGCAAGGAATTGCAGCAGCAGCAAATACCTGAAGACTGACTGTGAGCCAGGTGCCATGCTGAGGTGCGGGTGAGACTTTGTGCCTTCTCCTCTTTGTGGGGAGTTGTGGGGAGGACCCAGGGTCTTCTGTGCCCCAGACTGGCCTCACGCGGCACATAGTCCAAGATGAACTTAACTTCCTGAACACCTGTCCGCCTCCTGGGAGCTGGAGTCCCAGGCAAGTGCCACTACACCTGGTTTATGCGGTGCTGGGGACTGGTGTGTGCTGGGTAAACACTCCTCAACTGAGCCACACCCCAGCCCAGGATAGCATTCTTTATGAATGAAATCTGATTGCTCCTTTTATTTGTTGTCTTTTCTTTTTTCGAAATCACATGCAGTTCATTTTCTCTTGAAGGCATTATCTTCTGTGGCTTGGAATAGCTACAAAGTGCTGTTTGATATCAACATTAGCCAGGTACAGTGACTCACACCTGAAATGCCCAACTACTTTGGAGACTGAGACAGGAGAATGGCTTTAGCTTAAGGGTTTGGTTACAGTCTGCTCAACATAGTGAAAACTCCGGTCTGTTAGAAATTTTAAATGTTACAGTTTTTAGGGTTTTGTTTTTGTTTTTAAAAAGGAAATGTGTTGTTGACAGATTCTTCAAACTCTGACTAAGGAAAACCTGTTTTCACTTGTAGCCTTTTTCTTTCTTTCTTTTCTTTTTCCTGAGTTCTGTTTACTAAGCTGACATGGAGAAATCTCCCAGACATTTTCTGGATGGGGTGCGCCTTCTGGGAATGGATAAAGAATTTGCCTTGGAACCATGTGTGCCTAGCCCTTAAATAACTGGGTTCCTGCATTAGAATAGGAGCTGGGTGGGGTGAGTGACAGGAGCCAAGGGACAAAGCTGCTGCCACTTTAGTGGGATATAATAATAGGCACATTTTCTGGGCCACTGGTAACAAACACATAAATAGAAAAACATAAGTGATCCTCCACGTTGTTTGGAGCAGTTTTAGTTCCTGCGGAGCGTCCTGCCCATGATTTTCAGCAGGCTTTCCAGTGCAGCAGAGTCATCAGGCATGGGGATAGTGGGCTTCTGCAGGAGACAGCCACCTGCCTGTGCTGGGACAACTGGAAGGGCTAGGAAGCAGGGTGATGTTGGGGATATTTCTGGTTCTTTTTTCTTTTTTTATTGTTGTCAAGTATATATAACATAAAACTTCATTTTAAATAATCAGACTAGATTTTCTTATATATTTCTTCAGGGGCAGAGCCAGGTATTTCTAGATTCTTGGCATTTTATTTAAGAAGGAAATAAGGGAGATGCCGTTTTCCATAAGGGTGAGGCCCCTAATGGGTTGATCACTCTCCAATGAATGCCACATATCTAAGAGTTCCTGGGTGTCCCAAACTGTACTTGATGGGTTAAAGAGGACCCAAAGCAGGGTGGGTAGGGATGGGTGAATATAATCAAAATGCTTTGTATGGAATTCTCAAAAACATGAATAAAAATGAAAAAAAAATGGAATAAAGTTGCTTACAGATTACAAAGCAGCAACAGTCTATCTAAAATGATAGTACAGATTGGGATGGAATATACTGCGGAGAATAACAGGGAGCCACATAGGTGAGATACTCTTTGACCCAAGTTATTGTTTAGTGCCTCCTTTTGTGGGGTTCAAGAGGAGGAGTTTGGTTGCTGAGGAACATAACATAGTCTGGGTGGTTCTTTGATTGACAGATTATGTTAAAGAACCATTCTCCACTGCATATATTCCATTATGCACCTGATTTTAATCATTTTCATGCCCAGTTATGCTTAGACATAGTCTGGTAATTTCATGGGATTTCCCATAAAGGTTCACTTTGAGGACAGTTTACCTTATTACATATGTACTTAAAACTAGCTGAACCCATATCAACCTTCCTACTTCCACTGGGACATACATAGAGTAAGATAAAACTGTCCCTGAGTCTTGAAGGGGAGGAGAGACTTACTGCAGTGTTCAGAGTAAGGTTTAGATACAGCTGGGAGCTTGAGGTTACAGCTGGCCGCTGCGGAGTGCATGTCTTAGAGAGAGGTGTGAGTGTGCATAGTACAGGCAGTGTGCATTATTGGAAGAGGGGTTGTTTTGTAGTTAAGCTGTTCCCTCCTGTGCTTGCTTGTCTGAATACAGGAGTGCTGGGAGAAATGATACACTGTAAAGCTTCTTAGACACCCCACTTTGGCAGAACAGAAGAAAGGATCTGCCTTTCTCTAGAGGAGAGTGGAGTTTGCCTTTAGAGACTTAGAAGGTTAAGTGGGATACCTTCCTTTTTTCTAGCCCTATATGACCTCTGTCCTCAACATGAATGAGGTCAGCAGCTCCTTCATTCTAGACCGGAGAACTGAGCAGGCTCCTCCTGTGTAGATCCCCTGGCTAATTTTATGATGTTAGCTCTTGCTCTCCCTCTTTCCCCCAGTATTTTCCCTAGTGCCCACTGGAGTGCCCTATGCTGCTACAGCTGCTGCTGCTACTACTGCGTAGTAACTTAAAGTAGGGGATGCAGAGAGGCAGACAGTCGGGGATGTGGGAGCCAGCCTGGCAGGGAAGCTTCCAGAGTTCAGCTCAGCTCACCTCACAGGAAGCTCCATGATGAGCCTCTCCATGGTGTGTTATCTTTCCTTGAAGAAAAAAGGTAAGTTACAGGCCTTCTCAAGTTCAGGCACATGATTTTCTTGTTAACTGTGAGCCTTTGTTTCTTGGGAAGCCAACATCTGCCATCAAGCCGGCCCCTCAGGCATGCAGTTGGGGTTACTGCTTTAACCCGGGGTTTTACACCCTGCTGCAGCATTCTTGCGTGTCACTGAAAGTCATTTTCTGGTGGAAAATGAACTGGTCCGTGAACACATTTGATGTTGCTGAGCAGTAGAAGGGTTTCTGTCTCAGGCCAGTGCTTTGCCTTGAGGCTTTTTCTCATGGTCAGTACTTTGGCAGGTCTACAAAGAAGTCCTCTTCCCACCTTCCCCAGGGATCCCGTGCTCCAGCTCTCTCGGCTCTCTCCCATCTTTGGAAGTCTCTTATTTTACAGATTATTTTGTATCTCTTTATTTTTCAAGTAATTTTAATAATTCTCTGGAATTATTATTTGGTTAGATATCTCTAGAGCTCTGTGTGTGCTTGCATGTGTGTGTGCATGCTCATGTGTGCATGCATGCACTCGAATACATGTGTGTATGTAGGCAGGCATTCATTCCTTCAGACAACTCAGTGTATGTTGGCGTATTTTTTAGCACAATATTCCGGTGTAGCCTAAGCTGTCCTAGATCTCACAGTCCTCTGGGCTCACCCTCTTGAGTATGGGTTACAGGTTTGTGTTACAGCGCCTATCCTCCTGCCTTATCCTCTTGAGCACAGGGTTATAGGTTTGTGCCACAGTGCCTAGCTCAGTGTTTGTTTCTTTGTGCTAGAAGAGATTGAGACCAGGCTCTGAGCAATAACTTTGCCAGCCACTCCAGAACCTTCCACCTACACAGGTGTAAAATGAGCTCTTTCTCACTTCATACTTTATCTCCAGTCTTTGAAGTGTCCCTGGTGACAGCCCTCCATACATACCATACAATCCAGGCTAGGTTCTAGATCAGGTGACTAATGTGTGTGTTTTGTACATGTTCATGTGGGTGTATGCACGTGTGTCTGCATAAGTGCCTACTTTGGAGCATGTGTGTGGAGGCAGGAAGTTGATGTCAAGTATCTTGCTTCACCCTTCACCTTATTTTTTGAGCTAGGGACTATCAGCTGGATCTGGAGCTCATTGATTGGCTACACTGGCTGATCATTAGGCCCCAGGGATCCTCCTATTTTCACTATGCTGGTGTGGGGATTATAGGCACATCCTGCTGCAACAACTTTTCTGTTGGTACAGAGTATCCAAACTCAAGCCCCTGTGCTTGCACAGAGAGCACTTCACTGATCTAGCCATTTCCTTAGTCCCTTTTCTAGACTGTCTGTAAAAGTCTGTGCTCTGTTTTAGTCCTTCAATCTAAGGCAGTGTAGCTACACATTTTCCTGGTTGCCATAGGAACATCAATGCCTCATTCATGGTGGTTTGAAGAACCTTCAGCTGGACTCACTGGCTAAACTGAACCCTCAAGGTTGTCTGACTTCCATGCAGCTCTCAGACTGACCCCCGGCCAGTCTAAAGAAGAGCCCGTGAATTTTTTTCATAGCGTTCATCTTCTGATTTTCTCTTGCAGCTGATGCTTTTTTCAAAGCTGCCATTGGCCTCATTCCAGAAGTCCCAAAGATGATAAGCATTGATGGGAAGCTGCGGCCATCGGAGCCCTTCCTCCTGGAGTTCCTGTGCAATTTCTTCTCCACGTTATTGATTGTGCCGGTATGTTTCCCAGTAGCACAGGTGGTCTCAATTCACCCTGCCTTAGTCTCCTGAGGCCTGAAAGTGTGAGGCTCTGTCATCGTCATTATGGGCTGCTGGGAAAGAGTGCTTGAAGCTGAGCACTTCAGTAGCAGAATTGAAGGCAGGAAGGCAAAAGGAGCACTGTCCTCTCTAGTGCTGTCCACCTGGAGGGGGCTCTTCCTCTCTTAATCTTCCCAGGAAATGCCCTTACAGACCAGGCATGTCTTTATGAAAGTATTTTATTTATGTCAATGTTTGCCAACATGTATCTGTGTACCACAGGTATACCTGGTGCCCACAGAGGCCAGAAGAAGATATCAAATCCCCTGGAACTAGAGTTGTAGATAGTTGTGAACCACCATATGGGGTCCTCTGAAAGAGCAGCTAGCGCTCTTAACTACTGAGCCAACTCTCCATTCCCAACTAGATGTGTCTTTTAGTTGATTCAAGGACCAGTCAAGTTGACAACCAGACTTAACCACTGCAACATCTAATTGGGGTCGGGGCTTCAGCTTGTGTGTCTGTGGGGGAGGGGGCACCAACGTTCAGTACACTGTACACTTCCAAGGCAAGGGCTCAGTGGCTTTGGACCATGATGGTGAGAATGGGAGCCAGCTTTTCCTCGTCCTGGTTCTGCAGGTCCAGCAAGTCCTATGCATGTGTCCTGTCCATAAACTGAGGGTAGTCTTTGTGCCAGCTCCTGGTGTTACGGAGAGGATTGAGTGAGGGCACAGTGTATATCTACATAGTGAAGCTCTTGAGTGGTAGGGTTCCTTGAAATAGTAAACAGTAGAGACTGTGCTCCTTATGGCTCGGAGAGACAAGCTTTCATTGTTGGGCTTGAAGGAATTGGGGCCCTTTGGAGGGCCCTGCAGTAAGAATTCCTGGAGGTGTCTCAGAGCTGGGCTTCTCCGCCCTGCTCTTTCACTTGGCACCCACCTGCTTCCTGACATGAGTTTGGATGAAGAAAACAAAATGACATCTCTGTTTTCCCAAGTATCTGGTGCATTTACCTTTCACCTGATTGTGAACTGAGTGCAAAGAGCCTCAAGTGGCCATGGCAGTAGCTGGGACTTGTCTCCAAGTCATGAACAGGTATTATATGATTATAGCTCAGATGCAAAGCCCTTGCTTTTTCTTTCTCTGTTGTCCCAACACTGCCCCCCCCCTCTCCTTCCCTTCCCATTTCTTCTCATCTCATAGCTTGTCCTCAGTCCTTTGTTTTTGTTTGTTTGTTTTCTCTGAGAATCCTCCTATTGCAGTCCTGTTCTCCCCTTCCCCCAGTGCTGGGCTTACAGACTTGCAGCACTCCACCTTACTCCCTACTGCAGTACCCGCCCCTGCCCCCCCCCCCCCCGCCCCCAGCTTACAGACTTGCAGCATGCCTGCCTCATTAAAGGCCTCCCAGAGGAGAACATAGTACTCCACCTTACTTCTGAAAGATAGTTCAGGCTGCTGATATTCTCCCTTCCTTACAAAGCACCATGGTAAATCCCCACAAAGAGCCCATGGGTTTTTCACCAAAGCTGTGAAAGTATTGATACAACCTCAGCAGTGTGATTAAGTGCCATTGAAGCCTTGGCTATCTTGTTTACTGATTTATAAATAACAGCCCAGGATTTCATAGGCTTTGCCTGACTACCACAGGGAGGGGGCACAAAACAGGACTGGCCAGCTGGTGTGGTGGCATCCCCCTGTACTCTCAGCACTGGTGAAGCCTGGGAGGGAGATTTTGAGTGTCAGGTGAGACCCTATCTCAAAACCTCTGGAAAAACAAAAACTGCAAACCAATAGCAAAACAATATACTCCCAAGATGACTGTGCTTCAGGACTGCCCTGTTAAATGCACATCCCTAGAGTTCACCCGTGGAGCATCTCCCAGGACACCGAAATTGCCCTTTGGAGGTCACTTCCCTGAGTGGTTCAGAAGGGAGCACTCCCAGGACCAGACCTGGAGAAATGTCTTGCCAAGTTTGGTCTGTGTCAGTGACTCAGCATTTGTTGGGTTCCAGGTTTCATGGCAGGGGGAGTGGGAGACAGAGTGTGATGAAATATTCTTTAGTCGATTGTGGTGACAGTCACACAATTCTGGATACATGAACAGTCATTGAATTGTGTGTCCTGAATGGGTATATTGTTCCCTGTGTGGATTATGTATCTCCATCAAGCTGAGAAAACAAAAAAAATGACTCAGCAGTGGGCTCTCTTTGTTCAGAGTCCAAGTTCTCAGTGGGGAATCCAGAGGCCCAGCTACAGACCTGCTCTGGGTGGGGCTTTTGTTGTCTTCTGGTGGAAGGCAGTGTCCTGGTGAGGAATGGAGGGTCAAATGGCAGAGCTACAGGGTCTCCTGAAATCCCTTCCCTGGATGCTTGATCCCAGGGCCCTTTGGTCAGTGCCCTTCCTCTCTGTATGACCTGGTCATTTGTCATGGAAGAAGACCAGAGGAGAAACCCAGGTTTTCCAGTGAGGCAGTTGGTGTTGCCTGTTGCTTGGTGGTTAACTGGGGTTTTGTTACCCCTTGAACATGTGCTGAAAGAGGCTGGAATCTCTTCAAAAGCCTCCTCAGAGTCACACACTTGGTTTCAGTCCTGACTCAGTGACTGCACAGCTCTGGGGCCTACGAGATGGTTTTTTTTAATCCCTTGTAGTGATATATTGTTATGATTTAGTAAAGCTCGACTGAAGAGTCAGAAAACAAGGTCAGCCACAAGCCTTAGAAGCCAGGCACACACCTTTAATCCCAGCAGCCAGCAGCTAGGAGGTATACGCCTTTAATCCTAGGACAGAGTTAAGAGACAGATGGATTTCTGTGAGTCCAAGGCCATGCTGTCTCACCTGTCATCTTTTAGACATGTGATAGAAATGTCCAACTTGCTGGATTGCTTGTGTGGGTTGAATGAAATCATAGCCATGAAAGCATTTTGTGGACCAGAGGCCAGAATCCAGCCTGTAGCCATGGGACGATGGAAAGCACATGGAGTGAGTTTTCCACATTAAAAAAAAATTGGTCCACTGTTAAAGCACACAGGCTTGTGGTTTTCCTTGGAGAATAACCTTCTGCATTCAGGCTGGTATTCCATGACTTGTTCAGGTAGCTATAGCTGGAGAACAACTGCCCCAAGCACACAGGGTGTGCACCTTCCCCAGTTCCCCTGGGCATCCATAGATACATTTAAAAACTCATTCCAGATGCCAGCCCAGCACACAGGCATCAAGAGAGCATCTTCTGCTTTGAGTAGGACTTTGTTGCTTTTCCTGGTGTCAAAGACTGCACTTTGGTGGGATCTAATAATGATCAATCATGCAATGAAGACTAACTGCAATTGGGGGGTGGTCTGCATATAGAGGGCTTTTCGGTGGGTGTTGGTGATGTAACTCAGGGCCCGCTGCTTGCATAAAAAGCACCTTACTGAGCTATCTCCCACTTTTGACCCCAGGAACATCCAATTATTGGGTGCCATGCCAAAGCCAGTCATTATCACTTACATAGCCTCTGAGAATTCCCCCTGAACCCTGAAAAGTAGGAATTAATGAATCTGTTTCACTTCCAGACACTTAGAATGGAAAAGTCTTTGTCTGGAGCTGTGGAGGTAGTTGATAGCAGAACAGGGATTTGAACTTGGATTTGTCTCCCCCAGGGTCCTTCATACATGATGTGTGCTAAGGGAGTCTGTCATACACTTTCCCTGCTCGGGGCCATCAGGGGTTAGCAGCTCTTTATCCCTCCTCAGGAGAGGTAGCATAATATAGACATACCTCAAACCTGTTATTTCATGTTCTGTTTTCACTTGGCAGTCTCCAACCTCTGTCTACAAATATTAAATAGAAAGCTCCAGAAACTCATCCATTTTCAACTGTGTGCCATTCTGCACAGTGTGTGGTGAGATGTCACCCCACCTGAGATGTGAATCTTCGTTTGTACAGTGGATCCACTCTGTGTGTGGTACCTGCTGTATCGGGCTGGGGTTGCTTGCCAGTCCGTGATCATGTTGCTTTTGCTTCAGTGCCCAGAGCACAGGAATAGTGATGCTGTGGTTTGAATCTGCCAAAGAGAAACCCTTGAGTGGGCCCTTTCTATAAAAGGGTAGAAGTTTTGAACTGAATTAGAAAAGAAAAGCATCTTATCTTTTGATACAGTGTGCTTTTAAATTTATTCTAATTTATGATTAGTTATTGTTTATCTCTTACTATGCTGGTTAGATTACTTGTCAAGTGACACAATCTAGAATCATCTAGAAGGGATTGTTTAGATTGGGTTGGCTTGTGCGTATATCTGGGGGATTGTCTTAATTTCCTTAATCGAGGTGGGAAGATCCAGCCATTTTGCAGCACTGTCTCTATACATAGCAGGGCATCCTGGACTTGTAAGGATGGATAGCATGGCCTGAGTGCCAGCGTGCATTGATTCACTGCTCTCTGCTTCTGCCTGTGGATGTGAGTGAACAGCTGCTTCACGTTCCTGCTGCCTTGACTTCCCCACAGTGATGGGCTGGACTTGTAGCCAAAAACCCGTTCTCCCTTAAGTTATTCTTGTTGGGGCATTTCTATCACAGCAACAGGAAAGGAACTAAGGAAACTACTCTGTCTAAATTAAACTTTGCCATGGGTATGTATGTGAAAGAAAAAGTATGTTTAGGGTTAGGTACTTGTGTGGTTTCTGGTGTGACTGGAGTCTAGCCTCTGAAGATTAAGAGGGCCTTTTGAATGGATGATTGGCTCTTCAGGTGAGCAGAGAAGTTCCATCTGTGCAGCCGTGGCCACGAGGTGATCAGGTGAGCCACACCTGAGCCACAGCACCATGATTGGATTTTGCATGAAAACAACCCCCTCCTTTGTTTACCTTGTTGAGATTGATTCCCTTTCATACCTCAGGTTTGGGAGGAAAGTCAGGGCAGCTTGTATTGGTTTAGAGTTTTATTTCACTGCGGTAACAACATGTAACATAAGCTCCACTCCTAAACAGTCTTTCAGAAGGTCTT